AAATCGCCCAAACTAAAAGAATTGATAAAGTTAGGGTAGCCCCTTGGTTTCGGATATGGCTTCGAGGGCGTTTTGGGTAACCCATTTAATTTCTTCGACTTTCATTAAATTCGTGAAGTGATCCGTATCGGAGTCATGAAACTACTAAACTGGTATTGCAGTTACCAGACATCCGGAATATGCAGAAACCCTGTACAGGTAAACGATACATTGTTCTCTGTCTGGAGAAGCGCTCAAGAGAATTAGAATAGCTGTGTGCGCTAATCATACGTTATTGTGGCGGACGTAAAGCTTGCGAAAACAGAATTTTCTGCCACCCCCTGAAAAATAGTAGCAAAACACCGCAGAAATAACCAAAATATCCACGTATCTCTAGAATCATTCAAATATCATCCAATTCATTCAAATACGCACCTTTATCATCAAATCTGCACCTTTATCATCAAATCTGCCAATATGCCCCGCAACACCCACCGTTCTACTGCCTCGCAAGCTTGTAAAAGGACTCCAACTACCCTGCGCCTTCGTCTGTCCAAACTGCCTGTTCCGGATGTTCCGGATAATGACGAGAATCCAACTGATGATGAGAAGGAGGATAAGGAGGAGGAGGAGGAGGAGGAGGAGACACAGTCAGAAGATTCTTGATTTCTGTGAACATCTACCTCTGAGCCTGAGATCTCATTCAGGCTGTATGAATGGGTGATTATCAATGGGATAAAGAAGTCTATAAAGATCAAGTTATGGAATGTCACAACAAATGATATGACTGTCAGCTTCTATTGTATTCAATATATTGTAAAAAGAATAGCTGAAAAGTATGTTATGAAGCAGAACTGCAAGGAGATAAAAGTTGCAAATTGTATAGCAATCATCTCATCAAATAAACATAAATCTTCAATCAAAATCACTCTTGAGAAGGAGACAGATTGAAGAGAGATTATCACTCTTTTAAAAAAGTTATATAAAAAGAAGACAAGCCGCAATCGCTCGCTTGCGCTCGCTTATCCAGCTTGAAAACGCGCCGTTTAATCCCTCGGGTGAACGTAATGAGATATCCAACAGCTGCATGTGACTCGTATAGGTGAATTCCATGTAATCTACAACTGTCAATAAAAAACAATCACATGGATCATGTTGCTGTCTGTACAGAGAATAGCCATCCTCTTCAACAGATGTAGCACTCTGAAAAGTCTTGAGAAAATGTTTCATACATCTGCCATTCTTGTGGTAGAGGCTCACCATGTCAGTATTATATGAATCATGAATTATAAATTTACAGATCAATTCATTCAATCTGCTTGTATTTTCAACAATGTTTGACAGCTCTGCAGATATAATATCATTAATTATCTCAGATTGTAAAAATCATTCAGAGTTCTCTAATCAGATCAATAAATACATATAAAATAATTCATATTTTTGATATTCAATTATTCATACTTTGATCAACATCAATTCAAACAGCTGCTCAGATTTGAGAACATCAAGAAAATGAAAAACCTTTATTATAAAAACATATACAATCAACTCTGAGCAATCTGCTGTAGTCTGATCGGAGAGTAATTCATGAATAATCTTTTTTTATTCAAAATTAGCTGTAAATGTAATGAAAAGAGTTGAGTGCTCATAATTGAAGACAATTGCCTTAGAATTCTGAAACAGTTTATGTATAAAACATTCATTGTCTGTATGAGAAGTAGATAATATCATATAATAATTAAACTGCTCACAATTCATATCATTTGTCTGTATAACATCACACAGATTATCATATTGATCAGCACAGATTTTTAATTAATGAGTATAAATTCAATTCAATTATAGACATCAATTAAATACTGCTGAAACAGACATTCAATCTGAAAAAGAAAAAGTATCAACATTATTTTATTGAAAAAGATGATATATATGTCATATACATAGAGTCACATTATAACTGTCACATTCATCTTCATTTTCAACAGTACCATCAACAACATCATCAGAGTTGTTGCGGATAAATGAAAGATTTGCAAGCACATTCATATCAACATATCAACTGTGATCTTCAAAAAAAAAAGTAAAACGTAATGCAGTGAAAGATATAATGAATTGTGAGAGTTAATATATATGAAACTCAAATTAACACTGAGTTGTTGTAATGTCAGAAGAATGATATAGAAATAATGAGTGTTGCTGAAAATATTTTATATAATAATTACAATCTCTGAGACAATAAACAGATTCTCATAGCAGCGGTCATTGTCTGTCTTCAATTGTATAACAGAGTTTAAATCAACATATACAGCAGAGCTGTTTTATAATATCTTTCATACAAATTGATAAAGCTGAATGAAAAAGTTAATTATAGAAATGTTAGCAGTTAACAATATAATAAAAAAATGTAGAAAAGCAAATAAACAAACAATAAACAACACAATACAGATATGATTAAATATATTAGAATGTATAATAAAGTTCACATTATTTACAATACTTGCATCAAACTGTGAATTGTGAATTCACATTTATGTAAAACAGACATTCTCATCTGACTCAGACTCTAACAGTCTTTGCAGATGATAAAGTTCTCTTTGTATTTGAAATAATATTGAATCATCAATAATCAAGCAATCAAAAAGTGGGTTCTATTTGTATATAAAAAATGTAAATATCAGAGCAGAGTTGTAGTTCTGAATATGTTTGTAAAAATGTTTTCTATCAGATGTATTATCATTAAACAATTCATGTAACTCTGATGAAGATTCTCTGACAAATGACAGTCTCATAGCACCTCTTATACAATATGTGAAAAACATTGAAAAAGTTTTTAACAACTCATATACACATTCATCAATTCAATATTTAGCTCTGCAGACAGAGTAGTAAACATTCATTCAATTAAAATTGAATGATTGACAGCAATAAATGTAGAAATGAAATGTAATGCACTCGTTTATTATTTCCTTATTATTATATTATCTTTGTTTATATCTTCGTCTATTCTTACCTCTTTCCATTATACTCTCGCTACCACTATTTCTATATGTATATATATATGGATGCATGTATTTCGCACATCTTCTTTCTCTTTCTTTTCCTCTTCAACGATTAGCTACAACTACAACTACAACTACAACTACAACTACAACTACAATTACAACTTCAACTATACTACTACTATAATTATTATTATCTTCCACTACACTATATACTATCTTCTACTATTCACTTTTCACACTGTCATCACCCCTCACATGAAAGCTGCAAGGAACAGATTAACAATTGTGAATGATTAAAAAATTAACAACTGATTTAAAGATAATTGAATTGATTTGAATGTTGAGATCATTGAAAGTCAGTTGATTCAGTAAATTCATATATATATGACCAGGGAATTCATCTGCTGCAGAACTGCAGCAGCAGCTGTC